TTACTGCGCTTACTTATTATTAATAGCGGGATACCCGGATACAAATAAAACTTAAATATAGATAAACAAATACTAATATTATTTAAATATAGCGGAAGCCGTTAAAACCTATTATAAGGGATATTTTATTTACTTTAAAATAAAAGTATTATAATAGGTTAAGATTGATTATTTAAAGCCGATGCCGGCCGCTTTCGTATTATAGAACGATATTTCTATCAATTATATATTACCCTTCCTAGAAAGCCTTTATTTAAGTTAAAAGTTCAAATATATTACTATTATAGTAGACCGCCATATTGAAATATAATATTATATTACTACCGAAATTATAAAAATAGAAGAATTCGCTGACTATTTTATTAAATGGGTATATATCCTATATAACCTCTTTAATATTATAATATTAAATAGAGGCCCCTAATTGGTATTAATATTTTAGGCTATAATTTATAAAAGATTAACTATTAAAAGATTATTAAATTCCATTTTCCACCTTTAAATAAGTATTGAAATAGAATATATTAATATAGAACTATAATAATATTTACGGATATTCGTAAATTGGGTATAGACGGACTAGGTTCGTTAATTCCCCTTAATAGAGCTCGCGGGTAATAATATAGTATTAGAAACTATAGGAGTAACCCTGTTCTTTATTAATTACGGCTTCTACCTACGAATAAATATTGAACTATCTTTAGTTACCTCGTTATAAATTTCTTTAATATAGTAAAAAGAATATTTAAATGCGAACGAATTATTAGCCTACTTCGAGACTATTTAGAATTATGTTTAGACTTTAATGAAGAAGGTATAGGATTGTTACGAGTTAATACTAATAAAGAATAATTAAATATACTTAAATACTGGGTTAGGGATTTAATTATATTAAATACGATTAACTTCGTTAACGGCCGCCCTTATAATAAATTATACTTTTAATAGGAAAGCCCATTTAAAATAGGTTAAATAAAATTATACGATGTAAAATTAATATTGTTTATTAATATAAAATATTTGCCAATTCTCTATATATTGATAGTTAAGCCCTTTAAAGGGGGACTACCCAGTTAAACCGCTATTTAGAAGGACGTAAGAATAAACGAAGGTAAAGTAATAATATAGATCGATAATTACGAAGAAGTCGCGGAATAGGAATTAAATGAACTACTATCCTATAAATAAAAGGGAAATAGTTACTATTAATTTTATATAATCGTATAAATTTATTATAACTCAACCGAAAAACTGCTAATTAATGTAATTAATACGAGGGAGGCTATTAAAACCTTTTATAATAATTACCCCGATGTACCAATCCCGCTCGAAATTAAGTAATAGCTAAAAATTAAAACTATATTATAAGAGAAAGCGCTACCCGCTTTAGTACCCCGCTTATTAACGACGATTATATTGCCTATTCTAACGCCCCGCTTACCAAAGATTATAATATTGAAGCGTTCTAAATGTATTATAGATTTAAAGGAATAAATTAATTCGCTAATAAAGAATATTATAATTAAACTAGTTAACCCGCTAATAAAGAAAAACCCTAATTAATTTATAGAAAAATTGTTAATAGAGAATTTAATAAAGATAAATGAAATTTTTAAATATATTTTTAATAAACTATCGGAGATATATTAAGGGAAGAGGTTCCCTACGAGGAACGTAGTGGAAATGCTAGAAGTAAAGATATATTGGTAGGGAGATAACGATTAGAAACCGGGCGAAATTAGGGATATAAGGAGGATTTCGGAATTACGAACGGAAGAGTTCGAATAAACGTTTCGATTACGGATAGAAGAGTTTAAAGACGGGGATTAAAGAATAATTTATTATTTCGTATATATATAGATTTTGAAGCTTTAGAGTTTCTTTTATAGGGAGGTAGTATTATAGGATTACTTATAACTGCTTTACATATATATAGCTCCTGCTATAGGTAGTCGAGCCTCGTACTATACTATTACTACTATTAGCCAATAGCATATTACGTATATATGTACGTATAAGTCTAGCTCTAAGCATAGCTTAGCCCTACCCTATATTGTTAAACCTCTATATACTTCTTCCTCTTCCTCTCCTCATACAACTACGTATATCCAACCTACTCTCTAACCGTCGCCTTGCCCCGTGATAATCCCATCCCCTACCCGAGTCTCACAACGAGCCGATACGATGAATAGAATAAAAAGAGAAAGATTTCGTTAATTTTAATAATTTTAATAAGGAAGATCCTATTCTAAACGACGCGTTTAACAATTCTTTTAATAGATTCGAAAGCGCAGTCGAAGAACTTAAAGAAACTATACTTCAACCCCAATTTATTCCTTAACGTTAAATTCAATAGGAAGCTCCCCAAACTATTATCCCTATTAAGAAACTACCCAACTTATCCCTCGAAATCGTTAAATTTTAATTTAATATTCCTACGCTAATGCAAAAGCAACCACCCCGCTAATTAGAATCCTAGCCAAAGTCCTAGCTAAAGTTCTTAAACCCACCTTCGATAGAATAATCTTAATAATAATTAAAAATACCGGCAAACGAATTAAATTAATTAGAATAAATATAAAGTAGCCAACCTTTTGAAGTAGAGCCCTTAAAAGTAAGCGAAAGTAAACTTCGTTATTTAAAAATTAAACCGCCTAGGTATAAATACGAATTTTAGCGCACTGTTAATAGTAATAATAATATCGTAAATCCTAACCTAACCCTCCCTACCTTCTTCTATAGTATTATAAAAATAAACCGTATAATTCGCTTCCTCGAATATTACCTTATAGTTATAAAAGCTCTTTATAACCTCATTTAAATTAAAATAAACTATAATATCTCTAAGAACTATAATTAAATTATTAAATTAACTAATTATAAATCGTATTAATTACCGGTAATAGAGAAGTAAGTTAAGGTACTAGAGGATGCTGGTATTTACTTTTAAATTAACGTACTTCTAATATAAATATATTACTTAGTAAATAGGCATATAATAAAAAATACAATATTAATTTAATAGAATATATAACCCACGCTAAATAAATAATTTATAATAATTTTAAATATGATAAATGGGATTTGTAGGATATCGATATTATTATTACTAATTTTAAATATAAATAGTACCATTTTAATATAATATTTCTGAACGTACTAATCCCTAAAGAAAATAAGAAACATTATATTAAATAACCGATTAGTTTTAAAAAGAAGAATTGCAAATAGGTTTATTAATTAATTCGAACCCTATATAAATTAAAATGTAAACCCCTATTTTAATTCGAAACCCTATTATTAATTTTTTAAAAATTAAGCTTTACTCCTATCGCTATTAATCTTTATCTTTTCATTAATAATATTTTAAGGGCTATTATAGTCCTTTACATCGATAATTTCTTCGTAGCTATAATTAATTAGAAGATTATTAATCACGTTAAAACCGTTTTTAAACAGCGGTTCAAACTCAAATATTTAGGACTTATTCGAACCTTTTTAGGCTTTAATATCGTTAAAAATCGAATTGAGCATACCGTCTTTATTTTATGAGAGCGATATACTAAAATAATTATTAATAAATTTACGAAAGGCTTCGTTAAAGGGTAAGACCTTTATCCGATTAAAATTCCTTAGCCTCCGAACTATAAGATTTACGGGGGTAAAGAATTTTTTACCTAATAGAAAATCTCTATTAAAAATATTAATTCGTTAAATTACTTATTTATTAATACCCGACCGAATATTATATTTACTATTAATAAATTAAGTAAGATTAATATAAAGCTAACCAACCGCTATATTATTATAATAAAGTATTTATATTTATATTTGATTAGCTATTTAAATTTAAGTACTATTCTTGGAGGATTCTTCTTACCGATTAATAATTATATTAATTTATAATTCAAGGTGTATACGAATACCTCTTTTATAAGTAATATTCTAAATAGGAAGAGTACTATTAGGTATATTATATTCCTTACTTACGGCGCTATCTATTAGAAGTCTAAAAAGTAGAACTTCGTTATAATTAGTACGACGGAAATAGAGTTCGTAAATCTAATTCTTAACGCAAAATTATTAGAATAGATTGGAAATATATTAAAAGACTTAAGTTTTAAGATTAATACTAACTAAATTCTTCATACGGATAATAAAAATGTTAGGAATCGGGTATTTAATATTAATATCCCGGCTCGTAACCGCTATATTGATATATAATATAAATAGTTAATTAAGTAAGCGGAAAAGAAGGCGATTAATATAATTTATTTAGCCGGAGAAAATATATTAAGAAACGGACTAATCAAGGTATTAAAGGCAGATAAATACATAAACTTTATAAAGTTAATTGGCCTTATCTAGAAGAAAATTCCCTAGGATTGAAAACACCAAATAGAATAATTACTATATAAACAGTATACTACTTAAATTAACTCCCTTTAATTCATTTTAAGAGTCTTTCAGTCTACGGGGGTATATTGGAGGTATCCCGTATTACGTGCGGCCAGCTATAGTTCCCTTTACTAGGTTATAGCCCTACTGTATAGGGTTCCCTCTCCCTCATTTCTAGACCTCCAGACTTCTCGAGTCTTCCCTTCTATAACTTAATATATTACCATTATTATTGATTCCTTTCGTTGAGTTCAGCCTGTTCACATAGTATGTGTCAAGGAGTTACCAAGTCTATCGGTCAGTTTGCTTGCATTGTGACTGAACTGTGACTTGCTCCCTTCCTATTCCACAACCTTCCTTTTCATATTGTTTCGCTGCCACGGAAGGAGCGTTGCCAAAGTCACCCCCTTCGTCCCCCTGCCCCACCGAGAACCTTGATGAGCTCAGCATGCATTCCTGCAAGGCAGTCAAGCAGAACCTGAGAAACTTGACTTTTTTTCTTGGCCAAATCTCCTTCCCGTCCTTTTCCCAGCACAACTTCTTCCCCACAGCCAATTCACCTACCTCTATATACCAGAACACGCCCCAATAGAACCGACAGGATGCCGCCAGTTTACGACGTAGAATACGATATGAACAAAGACGGTACCGTGACTCCTTACCTCGTCGAGTCGATTCCTCCTCCCGAGGTTCCAGCCCTGTCCTCTACCACGAGTCCGGCCCCATTGACGTCGACTACTGGTCTCTACTTGAGTATGCCGACTAGGATGCGGCTGTCAGTAAGGATCCAAAGAAGCGTGCCTCTGCGGCTCCACGACCTGTCGCCGGGAAGAAGAGATCGAGGAACGGAGATGGCGAAATGGAGAAGCGCGTCAAGAGGCAGAGGCTGGACCGCGATGGATCTTTCCGGACGGCGTAAACATCTTTCGCCCAGTATGCTACTTCTACCCCCATGTCCCACTCTTCTTGAAGAGAACTAACTGACCACTGCGCCAACAGCCTCCTCGAGCAACAAGCCATACATTGCAACCCCGCCTCGAAGGGTTATTCCCGACTCCTCCGCCGGCCCTCCTCTCCATGGCAACTTAGAACGCCATAAGATAACCAAGGACCATATTGCCAGGGAGAATGGGACCTATGTTCCGCTAAAGACAAAAGATGGCGAGCTGGAGTGGTACTGTGAGGTGTGCGACCGGGGCTGGACGGACGAGTGGTCTCTGCGCTTGCACGAACGGAGGTCGTACGACTCCTCCCCTCGCTCTCTGGGCCCCCCCTCCGCCACCACCACCACCACTCGTATCGCTGCCGCTGCCGTCGCCGCCAAGCCCAAGGCCGCCCGTAAGGGCAAGGCCAACGACACTATCGCGCGGCATCTGAGTACCTCTACTAAGATGCACCTGTCATGTGCGGTATGCGTTCTAGAGGTAGCATACACCCGCTACGGCTCTCGGGACTTCCAGAGACAGTCGCCAAGTTTCTCAACTGCTTCCCCGAAGGCTACGAACGCGAAGATGTCTCCGGTGAGCGCCTATTGTGCAGCCTCCGGGCTCTCAGCCGCAGCGTAGAACTGCAATTCGGCGGTACAATAGCTCCTACTATCGAGGAACTCCATACTTTCGCCCAGAGTGCCGTGATGGATGATAAGGAGAAGCACATAACCATGGGTAATGGGGTCAGGTCATTGGAGAGGGACTACAGCGTCGACCAGCTGGCGAGCATACAACTATGGTGCGGCGTCCATGAGCGAGACCTTGTGTTTGGTTGCCTGATGAGTACCGGACTACTCAACCTCTACAACAACGACAACACCACGGCCGCCACGAGTGTTGTGTGGCTCTACAGTTCGAATGACGGACGACTATACCGACCACTTCGAGGCTCTCCGCAGACCGACCGTCTCAGGCTCGCAAAATGGCAAAACCTCACGCTGCATTATGAGATACGGCGCCTCTTCAGTGGACACCTTTGAACGACTCAATGAGCTGATGGCAGCATAGCGTCGGGAGATGTGGGAAATATCAGCATAGGCTGTACTGCCGCAGGGTCGCTCGTTAGTCTGATGACCGACGACTTTGGTGCTGATCACCCTATGGTGATAGAGGCAGCGGCGCTATGTGAGGGTACCTATCAAAGAGGACTATGAGTTGAACGAGGATCTCAAGCTGAATTTGGAGAAAGAAATCAAGGAATATGAAGAGTGGATGGGCAAGTCTCAACTCCCTCGGCCGCCACCCGGACCCGCTTCGTGACGAGGAAAACAGAAAGTGAACGCTGTGGTAATTGTGACATCTGGGTGGTGGCGTCGGTAACAACAATCGACTAATAACAATTTGGTATCTGACCTCAAGCAGACACGGAAGTCATCGATGACATCCTGTTACTGAAGAAATCTCTTGCCATCCAGTCAATATGTTCCGCTCTTTTATCCACGTCAAAGACACGTCCATCTGATGTTTATTTTCTGTCATCGAGATACTTTCCGTCTCAACTTGAGATGCGGCATGTCGTCTGTTTGCTTTGCGAATGGGAGGAGTGAACAACGGGAAAGCCCTAGGTACCTAAGACGCCCGTGAAAGGATGAAGCCCTCGCACCCAAAGAGGCTCAAGAGACTCGGGAGAACTATGAGAGGAAGCGAGAGAGACTCTCGTCCTCGTACGAAGATGCCATCTCTCAGAGCCGCAAGTTTTAGTCTGGAAATAGATGTCCGTTCCTTTCCCTAGCGTACAGGAAAGACCCCCTTGGAGGTTATCATGGACAAACTGCCCATGCCAGAGCCGGACCATAAAGGCGCTTATGGATGGAGTTTCCCCGACGATTGATATGACAGACGGATAGACGGCCAGCTCCCGCACACATCCTTACACTCGATTGAACGACTGGCTCTCGGAGAAGGGGTAGTCGAAAGGGTAGCGGAATGGCGCTGGCATTTCTACCTTCCCGAACTGGACGGACTGCTCAGCCTTATTGACGAGGAAGGTAAGACTGCGACGGCGGAGGAGACTGAGGAGATCTAGGCCGCCAATGATCGGCATGTTCTGATTAATCCAGTCGTCGTTCGGATCTTTTTCTCTGGCGGCGGAAGAGCTGGCGCCGCGGTCGGCCGGAGGTTGAGAGGCTTGAGTACGGCGAGGTGCCATTTTGATGGTGGGTTGGCGTGCGGATAAAAGGTTCAACGAAGTTGGTTGGGATAAAAGGTTCAACGAAGTCGGTTGGGATGAAAAACGGAAAACGAGATGAAAAAGGGAAGATACCTTACGATCTATCTTTATGCATGGATCTGGGTTATGCGCTGGGGTGGGCAACCTGGAGCCATTGTGTTTTGGTCCTTGATGAGTCCGCGATTGGTCCGGGGCAATTGGGATCAAGAAAACGAGTCCAAAGTGGTTGGATCTGGTGCCCGGGGGACGAAGGTGTTTGCCAGCTCCAGAGGGCTCATCGAAAACGTTCTCCCAAGATCCCACCATCCCCAATAGATACCTAACCACAAGAACAAGATGGCCCATGAGGCCCACTACAGCGGCAAGAACGAGAAAGGGTATGTGTGCCACGTTTCTGACCACCGTTCTTTACCTCTAGCCTGCAAACCCCACCGCCTGTGTTTCGATGCGGTTGGTGCTGTGTTCCGGAAGATCGGCGGTGGCGAGCACGGATAGACAGAGAGCGAACCCATCGTACATGTTCAAGACGTTGTCCATGGGTGATCTGTAATGGAGGTGGCAGCTTCGAGACTTTTCTTCGATAACGGAGGCCTGATTTTAGTGTATTTATGCTAATTCAGAAACAGATAATGCATATTGAGCTTGAGCATCAGCTTCTCAAAGCTCGGCACGGCGCACCCGTCATCCGGCGTCGGAGACCCCGTTCCGGTACGTCCAACCGTCCCACCACTTCCACGTTTTCCTCCGCCTCCCTCCTCTGTCACATCCAGAGCGAAGGCGTGCGCGAGAAGAGGGCTGCCAACAAGGATGAAGTCAATGCCAAACAAAGGGAGTACAAGGCAAAGTGGAAGATTGAGGACCCTGAAGCATACGCCGAAGCACTCGAGAAGGCCCGCCAGAAGCACGCTGAGAAAAAGGATGAACTCAACGCGAAGCAGCGTCAAAGGTGGGCGGAGAAGAAGGATAAGTACAATACGAATGTGCGCGAGAAGAGGGCTGCTAACAAGGAGGAGGTCAGGGCTAAACAGAGGGAGTACAAGGCAAGGTGGAAAGCCGAGAATCCAGAGAAGCATGCCCAGGAACTCGAGAAGGCCCGCCAGAAGCGGGCTGAGAAAAAGGAACATGAGACTGCGAGAAGGCCGAGGATGGAATGAGTGTAAGAAATGCAATGACGAGTCAAGCAATGACGAAAACGAATCAAGCAACAGTGGAAGTGACAATGACGTTCACGATGACCGTGACCAATATCAATCAAGCCACGAAGGAAGTGATGATGACGGTCCCGTTGAGCCCTCTTCTCCTCCTCCTCCTCCATCCTCTTCTTTTCCTCCGCCCTATCCTCCATTGTATCTCTATTGACTGTATAATCAATCCAAAGAAACTTGCCCAATCCAATCCATTGGACGGTGTTGGGGTCGGTCGGGTGGTCACGCGGCGTTTTGGGGGGGGTTGGCCGTTGGGACTTATTGGGACTTGGAACGCTACCGCATTCGATTCGATCAGAGATGTCAGGGTTGCTGTGGATCTTGAATGCCTTGTGCCCAATGATTGTGAGTTAGCAGCTGGCGAAGATGTCCATAGCACACAGCAAGAGGTTGAGACAAGCATCACAACAAAGGTTGCGCAGGCTGATGTTGGCACTGATAAACCCCGGCTGGCCCTTGATGATCCAAGAAGAGGTGTGGCAGTGGATCATGGTAGCCGACATGTTGTCAAACGAGGTGAACCAAGAGACTTTCCGGGATCGGGGGAAGATTGGCGTTGGAATCATGGTGGAATAACCGAAGATGATGGTTGGTGGTCCGGTTGCCGTGTGGGAAGAATAGCTGTAGCAGATCAAACTCGGTCATGACATTTGAGGTTCTGGTAATCACGAAATCAAGGAAACAGAGTTTGAAGTAAAATCCCACTTCTTTTTGTTTATCACGAGCCCAACACCAGAGACCCAGTCGAGGTAGCTATCACTCAACCCGACCTTTTCTCCCATCAACAATTCCGGCATCCAAAAATCTCAAATTCCTGTTCAACTCCAACCCCTTACGCACCGTTGCGAAGTCTGCACAAAGGCCTTCCCCTCTCCAACACATTCGCGTTGCAAGTCAACCTCGAGTCCTCGATGCAAGTCAAGCGAGAGCCACCTGTCATTATAACTCCATCAGCTTTTGTTCCCATCTCTCAACTTCCAACAGTTACCGGCGAGGTAGGGCACTCACAGTTATTAACGCCAGCAGGCACGCACTTCCCCGACTGGCCATTGACCTTGCAAATATCCTGCTTCAAGCTGGTATTCGCGACACAGCAAGCGCCGTTGGGAACGGGGCGGTTGGCGTTTTGGCGGGCGAAGATATCCCGGCGGAGAACGGAGGTGTCGGACTCGACGACGGCAGCGTTGACGGAGAGAGCCGTGAGGAAGAGGGAGGTGAGGATGGTGAACTTCATTTTGGCTGTTTGGGGGTTTGGGTGGATGAAGATGTAGATGGTATTAAGGCTGGCGAGCTGGTGGTTGCCGAGAAGTGGGATGTAGTGAAGGAAAAGACCGGCCGGCGGTTAGTGAAGTGAAGATTGGTGTATGAATGAGTGGATGTGTTGATGAAGGAGGAGAGAGACTTACAACAAGGGAACAAGGTTGACTTTATACCAATGCCACCCTTCGGTTAGGAAGACATTCGGAACTCGGTACCGAGGCTCTTGTCTGTACCTGCAATCAGTGTGATGGTGCCGAGTTACGCTTGACGCCGGAAAGACTCGTTTCCAGAATGAAAGGTACAGCTCCTGAACCCAAGCGGGAGCTGAGGGCACCTTGACAGGGCCATGACAGGGCGGTTACAAGCGCGTAACTCCCACACGAGATCTCAATCCGGCTCCAAGGAGGGCTGTTGTAACAGGAGGCGTCAGACATGGCTGGGCGTCTCGAAGCCCTACGCTTGTAGGGGCTCAGGGGGCGCTGTTAGGGCTTGTTCGTGTCGCAGGCGGGAGTTCGGGCGAAAGACGTGCCCCACCTTCCCTATTGGTCAATAACACCCCCTCTTATTGGCTGTACCTCGGAAAACATGGCAGGGGAGAGCTTGCTGGCGGAAAGGGAAAAGAAGACAGATTGGACGACGGTGACATTGCTGGATCTTCTGGTCAATTCGTCAACGTCACTAGTCCTATCGATAGGCAACAATGTTAAGGAATTTCTGGTGCCCCTCCTCGTCCCCAACCCCTATGTCTTCCCTAGGCTGGGTTTGCTTTCCTCCCTCCTCCACGCCATTTCGCCTCTGCTGACTGCTTATCAGGCCACCATGCTTCATGCTCCAATCTGCGCGCTGCCAACACCCGTGCTAAACTGGCTCTTCTTCAGCAACCACTCCTCCATCGTCAACATGCCCGGGAGCTCCTTCCTCCTCGCCTCGATATCGGCCTTGTAGCCCTCGCTCGCGAACCAGCCGATCATCAAGCCGAGCTCCTTGGAAAGGAACGTCAACAAACTTCCGGCCAACGAATACGTCAGCGGGACGGGATACCCAGTCGCCTTGGAGAAAGCCCTGCTGAGCTGGTCAACCGTCAATTCATCCCCCGCCAGCCCGACCGCCGTGTGATTCCAATCCTCCGGGTCGTCAAACACCTTGGCCGCAAAGACGCCGATATCATGCACCGCAATCCATTGCAGAGACTTCCCATTCTCTCCCAGGTGGTTCTTCAACGCAGTCAAGAACAAGCTCGTCGGCATGCCAGGCTTGAGGTTGTCCATGAACGCCACAGGCCTCAGGATCGTCCAGCCCATCCTGGACCCAGGCTGCTTGCCGCACGTCGCATTCAGATAATCCTCAATCATCTTCTTGGTCTGGAAGTGCGGGATAGGCGTCGGGTTGTCCCAGCTCCGAGCATCGCCGCCACGCTCGACAGAGCTGTACACAAAGTGCTGCACACCGTTCGCAATGGCGCCGTCAATGAGAGCCTTGCCTTGTTTGACCTCGCCGTCAAACGTCACGCCGGGGCCCATGGAGACTTGAACCGAGAAGACGCCCCAGATGGGGAGTTGCTGCTCGCCGGCAATAATCTTGGCCGACTCGAAGAGTGCGGGCACATTGTCGAGGTTGCCTTCAACCAGCTTGACGCGCGGGTAGCGCTTGACGAGGTCAAGGGCCGCAGGGCTGTCGGCTTTGCGGGTGACGGCGAGGATCGAGAACTTGTCGCCCGACTTGTCGAGGTCCATGAGGGCGTCAATGACGGCACCGCCTTGCTGGCCGGTGGCACCGGTGACGAGGATGGTTTTCTTGCTCCTTGTGAGGGACGTCATGGTGTCAAGTGTGCCGATGCTGGTTTGACAGGTTGTGTTGGCTTGACAGGGTCCAAGTGATGGATGACAAGTGACAGAGGTGGAAAGGGGAGTGGACCTGAACGAGTGAAAATGTGAGAATGGTGGCGGGGGTTGTCTACCACCAGCTGTCACAAATTCTCTTTCCATTGCCCGTTAGCCACTGAAAAGTTCCCAACTCGGAGTTTCTTGAATACCCAAGTGGGAGACAGGAAAGACGTGAGGACAGTGTTAGTTCCGATGACCGACGACACTGACATGAAAGTCCCAACTGGAGTGGCAGTGACCGCCGCAGCAGTCGCGACTGCACCTTTACAGACATGGCCCAAGACATAACATTGGAGAACATGTTGGACCATTTTGGGATCTCGCAATCGCTAACTGCCAACTCCCATCAAGCGACGACATCACATTGCGTGACATGCAGTCCAAGCCTTTCCTAGCGGCATTCATTGAGCGTCCAGGCTTCTCAACATGTCTGCAATGTATCATGCCCATGCTCGAGCGTAGTTTTCTGGGACAACATGGCACGTCCTTTGCAGGAGAATGGACGCAGACCATGCACCAACCTGTTGGCAGGGTCATGTACGAGTTCTTAGACTGCACGAGCCCCAGGGCTATGGCGATGCACGAGCCCAGGTGAGTCCAGCTTTGAGAACCCTTCACCAGTCATGTGGTATATGCCTGCATATGTGAAGGAAGAAAAGAAGGGAGTGAGCACAACTCGGGGACTTGTCGATCACCGTCCTCCACAGACTTTTATCCTCATTTTCACCCTAGCCAAAGTTCGCTGAGCCTGTCTCGCACTCACCTTGACAGCCATTTCACAGCCTTTCAGTGTTCATAGGAACATCATTCAGTATATCGTTTGAACTGAGCCACGTCGTCGCCGCTTAGTCAGTACGTCAACTATCACCACACCTCCCACCGACCCAAATTATCCCGCCTTTGTCAGAGAAGCCATCATTACCACTCAAGATCGTTACTCATCACGGTACCTAAGCATCACAAACCTCAGCAAACACCTCTCGCTACAATCAACCACATCTACCATCACCAACCGCCAACATGACAACACCCTCCACCCCTCCATCTCGGAATCACCCTATGGACAACCTCGTCCAGCCTGTTATCCCCTCCGGCCCACCACCTCCCCTGTCCCTCGCGGATACACGCCTCAAAACACTTCGACTCCTCCTCCAAGGCTACAGCTCCCTCTCCGTACCTACTCTCCTTCAATCCCTCAGTCCCCAGTTTACGCACGAGGTTCTCCCCCAATCCCTGGGGATGCCAGTGAGGGGCAAGGAGGACTTTGCTCATCATGCTGCCATGGTTTTCTCAGCCTTCAAGAGCTTTGAGATGAAGCCGACAGAGCTGTGGGAGGACCCGGACAAGGGAGAAGTGATTTTGAGGTGTGCGATGGAGGGGGTCTTGAAGAACAAGGAGGGGCCGGAGGGTGAGAAGGAGGAGAGTGGGGCAGAGGGGGACGGGAAAGTGGAGGTGGAGGCCAAGAAGAAGAAGGTCACTCCCTTCGTGGATGTGGAAGACGAGTCCAACCCTGATGAAGACCCTGAACTTGAGCCGGTGGACCTAAGTAATATCTTAGGAGACCTACCAGAGCTACCAGACAGACCAGCGACAGTCCTGAGTCCCATCACGGAAGTCACCGAACCCTCACAATTATCTCCCCCCTCCTCCCTCGATCTCTCCTTCAATCCTTCCTCCCAGGAAGAACCAACATCATCACCCCCAACATCAGAGGACTCGCCCCGCTCATCGCCACCAGCCCCAGAAGAGCCCCTAGAAGAAGACCCAAAAACATCCCCATCCACAAACACCGAAATTCACTGGAACAACGAATGCCTCCTCATCATCTCCTTCACGCCTTGCGGTTCTCAAATCTCCAAAATCCAAGAATTCGTCGACTCCGCCAAAGCAGTCGAGATGAAGAAGAAACACGCCCCCAAGGGCTTCGACGAGGCTTCAGCGCCTCCACCACCAACTTACAAGCCCGCAACATACCTCAACCTAGATACTCTCAAACTCAAAGACGGATCCGGGACTCTCACCAACGTGACAGTCACCGAGCTCCCACCATCGTCGGTGCAGAATCCTGTATCCTCAGTCGAGAGTCTGGGGAGCATCAAAGGGGTATCACCACCCAACCTAACTGTTAGGCTTGACCGACTAGACAGGGGAGTTCAATGTGGCATGGACAGCCTGCAAGACACGCTAGACACATTCAGCACCACGACCGAGTACCCTTCCCCCGAGGGTCAGAACTCGTTCTGTCTTGACCGTGTGGGGGGATGGCATTCGACTGAAGGTGCAGATGGTGCAGCATATGAAGCCAAATTTGAAGCCGAAGTCGAAGCTGAAGTCGACCCCAACGTTATTTGCCTAGCAAAGAGCGAGTCTAGAAAGATCAAGAGGCTCCGGTTTGCCAAAAATGTGGAGGATATCAACGTTTTCTCTTCTTCCGGTGATAGCTCTTATTCTTCTGTCGAGGGGTCAGGATCAGGAGGTGGGTCTGAGTCTGGACATTTTCATTCTTCTTCGGGATTTTGGGCGTCAGCGTCGGGTGATCCAGTCGACGTCGACCACCACGAACATGATGAAAGTAGAGAGAAGAAGGGATTGGGCTGGAGCAGCACCATTGCTGATACGATCGAGGTTATCAACCATTTTGTTCCTCCCTTACTTGTTCCCGTTCATTTTGTTGACGGGAATACTACCTCTAGGCATGTGGCTGTCAAGAAGGAGTGGGTTTCTGGAGCGACGTTCGTTGCGGGGTTCGCGTTGGGGAAACTTTGGTTTGGAGGAGGAAGGGGAGGGAGGTCCTGGTCGGGGTAAGTAATTAACTGACGGGATGAAAGAGGTCGGGTGGTGCAGCGAAAAGGGCAAATATCCAAGAAGAGAAAAAAAGGAAAGGAGGGACAAAGAAGAAGAAGAAGAAGAAGAAGAGAAGCAATCTCATGATGTTAGCGGAGATACCCTGGTTGGATGATGATGCCACAGGAGTACATAGTACCAGCACAGTTGAAGAAGAAATTGATCTACCTATTAGGACTTTTCCTGCCATCACCACGTATAGTGGCTACAAGATGTGAAGAGGACGAGTGAAGAAGACCTGTAACAAATGAGATGCGAGCAGTTTTTCTGGAGGGACAATAAGGATGGAAGCCTTGTGAACAAATGGCTCGAGGCGTTCGTCAAACCATCAAGGTAAACATTCTCACGGTCAGGTCACTTGTCTGAACTTTTTCTGCGCCGAACGAAACTTTGTTCGGTTTCATTGATAAAAGCGCAGCTAACATTGTAACATACACCCTTGTATTCCATTATCCCCCCATCATTACTCCCGATTGTTCGTTTCCCATGTACCTCCAACATAAATAACACTGGTGCTTTCTTCCCTCTTTCCTTTTTGTCTCAAGCAATATTGAAACATGTCTTTGTCACCTTTCCAACAATTATCTTGAACTCGCCACCTTCGGAGCCTCTGCCATCCCTACCATAACTTCGTGTCTTCCCATCATTCACATTTCACAGGAAGCTAACACCCCCAACCCTCCCCGCCCTCAACGTAGTCCACAACGCCACCGTCCCCGCCACCGCCGGCATCACCAACCTAACCAAATTCAGTCTCGCCCACTTCCTCGCATAATACTCCGCCAGCGCCGCATCCGTCTTGCCCTCCCTCAACCCATCAATCTTGGCATTAATCGGCTGCATATTGACCGCCGAGTGCACCACCGTGATCAAGTGGCACAAGGCACAATATGCATAGTACTTCCACGCGTTTTGTCCTGACGTAGACCCCCCAAAGGCTTGGGTGGAGGAAGAGGAGCGCGAACAGGCCCAGGCGGCGTAGCCGTACCCCAGGATGCCCAAGGTGGAGATGGGTCGGAAGAAGACGTTGCCGACTTTCCAGAAGACGGGCCATTGGGTGCCCAGGTGTTTGGCGGCGCTGGCGTGGGAAGGGGAGGAGGGGTGGGGGAAGCCGATGAGGAGGGCGGGGACGCCCATGAAGGATTGGGTTATTGCGTTGCCTGGGGAGGGTAAGGGGTTAGTTTGGGGGGCTCGGTTTGGAAGGGAGGTGAGGGCAGTGGTGGTGGTGGTGGTGTTGGGACATACCGAGAAGGATGAACGACATGGCAACGGTGGTGCCAACGACGGCCTCGGTGGGGATAAGGCTGGAAGAGGAAGACATGGTAGCTAGTATGAGCAGTGCTGTGCTGTGCTTGCCCCTTGCGATGTTGTTTCAATGGACTTGGTAGCCAAAAAGGAACTTCACAATGTGTTGAATCTTGATGTTGTCAGAGCTCAAGTCAACCGCTTCGTTGGAGGACTTTGGCCTTGATAAGCTGAAGGGATGAGTATTGGAAGCACCCATTGGATGGTTGTCTTCAGGGAGCTGAGGGAGGGGTTCTCTGGTGCCGGGAGTTCATGCCGTGGAACCACCCTTCGCTCGTCTCCGGCCGGCAACTATTGTGTAACGGTTGATGTTTACACCTCTAACAAAGGGCAACCGCATTTGCTCCTTCCGTCACCGCCGAGGCACTAAGCAGTGCTCGCTACGTACCAGGTAACTTGGCGTGGAACTTGGAAGGTGCAATGTCGGTGCAATGTCAAACCGTCACTCGCTCCTTCCACTTGTCAGTGCAGCGCATCGAGTAGAATGATTGAGGTTGGTAATCTCGCTTTCAACAGATTTACTGCGAGCAGTTCCCGTCAAGGAACCCGACGATACCGTCCGAACCGGCGAGTGCCGTTGACCAGATCAACGCACGGACGGCGGAGGGAGGGGGAAGGCCGAACTTGACGTCCCGGGGGCGAAGCCATACCGAAGAATCCCGCCAAATCCAGAAACGAGAACCTCGCTTCCTTTCTGGGTGCCGAGCGCCAGCAGTACTGTATAGTGCAAGTCCGAGTCTGTACATTGGAACGCACGTAAGTTACAGTGGTGGACAATTCTTCACCTCTTCACTAACAACGCGGGCCTGTATGACACCGCCTCCGGCTGCGACTTGATGTACGTTGAGGCGCTGGCATATCGGCGCCCAGAAAGGAAGCGAGGTTCTCGTTTCTGGATTTGGCGGGATTCTTCGGTATATAAACAAGGGAACTTGCACTGCCATGACTTTTCACGAAGTTGCAAGAATTTTACTGGAAGGCAAACGCAACATGTGGTGGCAGTTAAGCAGCTTTACCTTGCTATTCGTTCGCCTCCAAGCGCACCATGCAGTGCAGAGTGCAGCAAAAGTGCTAACCAGTTTTGATTTTTTCCACGGGTGAGAATATATAATCTTGGGAACTTGCCATCGCTTTGGCGGGCGTTGATCCAGGACAATCCTGGGTATCCGGTGGTAACGGGCATGACTGGCTGAGTGCAGTGGCTGGGCAAAAGTTGATGTTATTAAAACAGTGAAGTCTTAGTTATGATACCAATGACAATTAATAAGCCAATCTATCCGTGGATGTTTGGTGGTGGTGGCTGAGCTGGCCAGGCATAAAAGTGTCCCTTGTGGCATTCTCGCCCTTTTAATGCCTCAGAGTCAGGCAGTTGCCATCCTGTCAAGGGATCGGAGATTCGGACCTACCACATGTCCGCTGGCATCCTGGACGGAAGGCACGTTTTGGTCGGCGTTGCACAACATGAGACGGAAAGATGCTTTCTTACTTATGGGAGCACGCTCCATTCTTATGTAAGAGAGAAGGTTCTCTCTTCGTCGTTTCTCAATTCTTGTGACTCTTTTCCCCGAACAAGCCAGTCCATTTCACCATCGCGAAAATCAAGGCGAGAACCACAAATGCGCAACACCCGACACCCTTTCCACCATTTCTTCACCCATCCCCCGGAAACGCCTCTGTTGACAATTTGACTAGCAAAAGACTGCACCCATTGCGCTGCTTCCAAACTGCGCACCACCTTCACCTCACTCGAGTCCAAGAAAGGAGACAGCCTACACACTCGCAGTGGAGTCTAGCCTCGCGATCTTGATGCGGATACCCGCCTCCTTCCTCAAATCAACCACCGCCTTTTCCATAACAACCTCCTCCAATGACTCATTCGTTTCGTGTCCGTTCACGAGTACAACCGGGACCGCTGCTGCCGGTGAGTGAGATGGAATCTTTACTGTCGATTGCGGCACCTTTGGCTCCTTGATCACATTCGGCTTCCCCTCTCCAAGGTTCCTCAGCCACTGTTCTCTCTTCGCGCGATCCTTTGCCTCGGACTCTTTCCAGATCCTCAACGCTTCCATCTTCTTCTTTTCCGAACGGGGCTCAAATTCCATTTGGAACGGATCAGGCTTGATGATAAGCAGCGAGTTGCTCTGGTCGAGCGGGACGGGTAGTTCCTGGCCCGTTACGGGATCACGCTTATGCTTAAGGTTGAACAACCAGGCCAAGGCACCGCATCCCACAATGAGTTCATCTTGGGTGAGTGACATACCGAGACACTGGCGCTGCCCCCATCCAAAAGAGCTAAGGCCCTTGATGGTCGGATACTGCGTCAGCGGTTCCTGGTACGTGGGCCAGCCCGGTTCGAGCCAGCGCTCAGGACGGAAGTTGTCCGGGTCGGGGTACTTGACGGGGTTACGGAGGAAGGACCTGTCTTCATCAGCATCTCATCGAGCAAGAATCACGGCTGGGCAGGAAGGACAAACCAGTCAAGGGGAAGGATGCGGGTTCCCTTGGGGATGAAAAAACCCTGGTAGTGATCATCCGCCTCGGTCTCGTGGGCGACACCTGTGGGCACGTTCGGCTTCCACCTCATTACCTCCTTGATGCAAGCACGGAGGATAGGTAACCGGGGAGCGTCTTCCAATCTTGGCATACGGCCACCGCAAACCTGGTCGACTTCCCTTTGAACAGCCTCTTGCCATTTGGGGTTGTGAACCATTGACACAAGCCAGTAGGACATCGGACCCACGACGGTAAAGATTCCAACCAGGGCCAACATCCCAATGACAGAAGATGCCTCATAGTCACCAGAAATGCTGGTCTTGAGGGACGTCTTCTCGAGAAACTGGCGAGTCCAGCATGGGCGTAGTTCGCCGTGCGCCAACTTCTCCCTGCATGTCAAAAGACGCTCCATCCACCACGCTTGTTGTTCATCGTGACGTTTGCGCTCTGCTCTCTTCCAGGGGTTGATCAAGGTTGGCAAGTGCCAGAGCGGTGTCAAGACGTTGGTGATGGGTCCAGCCGGTGACATCTGTGTCAAGAGACCCCAGGCGCTCTTGGTACAGTACTCACTGAGGCTCGGATCATCCCATGTCAACTGGCACATGATCTTGGATGACATGTCCTCGAGAGAGTGTTGGAAGTCTTCGGGGTTTTCGAGAAGGCGGGCCATCCATCGCTGGACCTCAAAGTACATTACACTGTAGTAGTGAGCTTTTGTGGCCTCGGCCAGATAGGAATGACTGAGTTTTCTTTGACGCGCCCAGTATTCTGTGGTTTTTTTTTGCTTTGTCAGCCTCTGCTTCTTTTCCGCCTGGACCATCATAATTCTCAGGGGCTTGTTTACTTACGATTGTGGCCCATCAGGGGAAGGTATTCCATCGACCCATACGCGCTCTTGGAGTCAAACAAGGATTGAATGACTGGCCGATCCGAGTTATACTTGGCGCGCTTGACCAGCAAATCCTCCGCTACCTTCTCATCGGTCACGACGATGAATTCGGCACCAAGCATGGTGGTTCGGTAGAACCCTTGTTGTCCATATTTGTCCGCCCACTCCTTGAACTTGAGCCACATGAACTGGATAGGAAGATCATGGACGCGCCCCAAGTAGGGTATCTGTGTCGGCCCCGGTATTCCATTTGGGTCGTTTATCTCCCTAAAGGCTTTGATGAAGTGCACAACGGCCACGACCAACAACAACAGGCCTACGATAACGAGAGTAAGCGGCTGCATCGCGAGAACGAATGATGAGTAATAGGGAATGCAAAGGACAATCTGAATTGGTAAGTCCAACAATGAAGGGGTATCTCAACAAAAGGCACTTCGACCGGTCTGGTTCCCTGTTTAGATAGGATTCATTGCCAGTATGGCTGACAACCGCGAGTTCTAGAAGCCTGCCTGCCCGCATCCTCTCTCTCCTCATTATTGCCTGGACGACTGTCGATGTATACGCAATGCACGGACGACTTAGCACCTCCAGCCTCCAGGTGGAGTCCGAGCGCCAATGGCGATATCTTCGGTTTCGACAGCAGAGGTGTGAGAGAGTGACAGTAATGGGGGGGACGAGGGTGCTGAAGACCCAAAAAGATGCAAAGATAGCATCATATTGTTCGGGTAAGCCTTGGAGCCCCTACTTTGTGTTTATCACCACTGAAAGTGTGTCAGTTTGGAGTATTGAAGGGTCTCGTGACAACGGCGGAAGGACACCAACCCTTATTGGAACGGCAATTATCAACTTGATCAATAGAGCCTGACTACTTTGCAGGTATCACGGTTGACAAGGGTGGGGTGGTAAGTTGTGGCCGTTCCTGGATCGTCAATGAACTGACTTTATCCCCCCCTTACATGACGTCGCTTCCTTGATAGAGCGAGTACCTTGCCTTTCTGATCCCTACGCACGGCATTTCTGCAGCGGCGCTGACATTTGGACTGCACAGCTTCGAACATTTTCACGCTATTGCAACGTTACGTCTGCTCTCTCAGGACTCAGCCTTGCACAAAGGAAGAAGTTGTATTGTTCAAGGCAAGAAGTGGGTGGCAGTGCACATAACAGAGGTAAGAAACATGTGTTTCCTTGTCTTTTAGTGATGATCGGGAGCAGAATGTATAAATCGCGTGACTGAGTTTCTATAATAAGGACAACCTCAGCGCCAGAATCAGACCAACAGGAAAAGTTTTTGAATCCCGGAGGTGACGCCGATAGACGAGAAGCAGACGGAGCTGGAAACAACCGGATTTGAGAACGCTGAGTGTGGATTGTGTTTCGTGAGTGCCATGGAGCCTGACAAAAGAAGATCAGAGGTGAAAGCTAACTTGAGGATAGGGCGATTTTTTGAGTTCGGTAGCTCTGTTGCGGGACTTCAAACTAAGAGCGACTACTGAGAATGACAAGACGGCCTGGTCACTTGACTTGGAGTTGGGCCGGAATGAGTGTCGGCTTCACTTGCCTTCTTGTGACCACACTGACTTTCCCAATCCTTTTACTAAGGCTCTTCGTGCTCCCTGGCTAACTAAACCAGTTCAAAGCACGTTGATGTATGCACTTCAGGCTGCGTCACGTTGCATGCTTTGCTGCGAGCGGTTTTTATTTGGTTGCTGAGGCGGGACGCATGCCGGTTAGACTTAGGTCAGGCACGGACGCGAAACTTCTAAAACATGAGCACAGATCACGAAGTGCAATTCTTCTTTCGTTGCTTTTCTCGCTTCGCTTTTCTTTTTTTTTCCTTCTCTCTGTTACGCTCTGAGGCGTGAAAGAGTACGGGAAAGTGAGACCCGACCGGATTTGCTCCAACCCTCGACCGAAGTCTTGGTGAAGTCTTGGTCACAACTCACGGCTATTTATTTAAAGGGAGGCGGTAAGTGCGATACCCCATAATGGCTGCAGATATACTGTGGAGGTCAATCTTTACATGATGTAGAAGTGTCTGCGAAGGCAACTAACGGTCTCGCTTTCTCCTGCCTGAATGGCACCAGCGAGAAAGGGTTTCAGTTGCTTTGGCAAGAATCTTCTGGCATAGGCACGCAATGTGGGTGAAATAACAGCGATGAGGGTCCCCAAGGCAGCTCTCAAGGGATCTCCCAAAACAGGAGGGGTCTGCACCCAACCCACCTGAAATAACCTGTGACCGCACTTGGCTGATCGGAGCGTTGATCAAGGCTTTGACAAGATCGAGAGCTTGCAGTTACCGAACGACAGGCGATGAGGCGGCCGGCGCGAAAACTGCGAGAAGTGGAACGACTAAGGACGTGTTTGAGAGGCTATGTTGAGGCGCTGTTGATGTGTCTGCGCCGGTGACGGTGTTGCCACTTTCTCTTGTTTGAGGAGATTTGGTTGGAAGGGTTGAAGTTGATCCTTGCGATGGCAAGCCCCGACAAAAGCAAAGCTTGGATCAGGAACCGAGTGTTGAGACGAATGCGTGGGATGAGGGGGACTTGCTGGGAATGCGAAGGGGTTCCGTTGTGGGTTGAGACCGGAAGCGAGAATTCAACGAGCTTTTGTTTCCGTCTCTGTTTCACTCTCTTGCCTATTTATCGCTCACTTCTTCTTTCATGGGTTGTTCCACGCTTCCTCAATCTACATTCTCTGATCTAGAGCTTCAGGTGCTTCTCAAATGTCCATCAATTCCCGTGGATTTACATGCATTGAGTGTCGATAAAATGCTGAAATCAACAAATCTCCATGTTTACAAGCACAGAACGACACCAAGGAAGCTGTCCAGGCTACTTCAACTGCCGGAAAACGTGCTCCTACCAGGATGCATCCATGATTGTGAAATGCAGATGCAAGCAAGCAAGCAAAAATCGGAGTCTCGGGACGCGTTGAAGAGGCCAGACTCCAGACTCCAAAGATAAAGAAGATGGGACATTAGGTGTGAGACTCGGGGAGTCAGAACCCATTTTCCTGAATTTAGGTGGTACGGATGTGAACGATCGGCTGTACATCCCATCGTAGAGCCATTGTGCTGTCTTCTGTTTGGGTATCGCAAACCCTTTCCCTCGTAAATCTCACCCTCCCCGGACATCCCGGGACGGCGCGGGCCGCGGGGCCCGGCACGGAGCCCGGAGCCCAGAGCCCGGCGATCGGCCGGACACCTCAATTCTGAACGAACAAAAAGGCAAAGTGTGTGTGGGTGATGCGCCGCCGGTTCGCATACGACACAGGCAAATCTTACTCACGTCAGCTTACTCCAGGTCAACGGAAGGCACGGTCAACAGGGAAAGCTCAACAAATATGCCCAGTCACACAAGTTCCTAGTGGATCTCGTTTGAGAAAATCATTTGTGAAACCGAGATATCATAATGTGGCGACCGACTTGCACTTCGCGATCGCCGGGGTTGTGTGAAAATAAACAGAACAAAAAACAGGTGAAGATCAAAAAAAACCAAGACGAGGCGCAAAAACAAAAAGAAGGTAGCAAAAGAGAAGTGAGGGAAAAAAAGACGAAAAAGAATGGGGGCCACCCGGGGATTGAACCCGGGACCTCTCGCAAGAATGCTCAGGATTGAACCCTAAGCGAGAATCATACCACTAGACCAGCGGCCCGTTTGATTTGTTGAACGCTGTACCACAGTGGAGTACTTATAAGCCCCACCCAGCAGGATCCGTTCGCCCCTCGTGAAGGCTCACGATGTTGCATGCTGTTCATTTCAGTTGTTGACACTTGACGATAATTCCTGCAAAAAAGAGCACGGGACTTTCCACCAAAGAATTGGGAAGTGCAGGTCAGGGCTGTGCACTGCTGTGCACGACAGGACAGATACATACATGAACCTGCCGCGCTGCCATGACGAACCTGCATATATCTATGCTCCCGGGCCCCTTGTTAGCTGCAGTGACGAAAGCGAGGTCAAGGCAATCAATGCGCGCTGCACCTGGTGCTTCTGCACTTAGACTTGTGACTAGCGCTTGAAGGCATGACGCACGACGCAAGCACAGTTCAATCGACGTTTCTAGAGCCGAGTCCTGAGCTGGGATGAGCTGATGAGGTAGGTATCTGGCAACCTGGTAGAAGCTGGCGGACTGGGAGGGTGGGCAAAAATGAGTTTCCAGGGTGAGCGCATCCAGTCGGCGACGCCGGAGCCGGAAGTTTGGTGACGAACAACTGTTCCGGATTGCCTCGCCGACGACGAAGATGAACGCCTTTCTTCATACGGTGTGTTGTAGGTAGTGGTGGTGGTGGTGGTGGTGGTGGTGGTTGAAGGTGCCCACGTGCCGGATGCTATGTTGCTCGTTAGGTGCATCTGACGTGAATGCAATGTACATACCTTACCTTAGTACTATCTAAGCACTGCTGCCACGCGCAGACAAGAGATTCAGGACTATTGAGCCGTGCCGTGCCTAATCCGCATTTCCGTTACCCCGGTTGTCTTGTACCTGCCGCAAGTAGTCAGTTGTTAGTGCGCAATGATGCTCACGTATAACAGCAAACTAACACACCACAGAGGAAAACTACAGACAGAAAGGACGGCGAGAACCATGCTATTCGCCCACCAATGTCTGTCTGCCCTGCCTTATGCTTCGCTGATGAGACAACACCACGCGCCAAACCGGAAGACCAGCTGAAACGCCATCGTGATCTTTCCCGTCCAGCACCGACCCCTTCCCACCCGGAGATCCACACGGAGGATCCCAGACGGGAATACTCAGGCCTTCTTTTCACTTTAATTCGGTAGCCGCCTTCATACGGTACTGGGCTTCACAGACGAAGCGTTCAGAAGTAGACCAGATCAATTGCAAGTTAGTTCTACTCCTTTGGGTCCGCATCACCTACTCCCTCTATGGTTTTGCATCGAATCGTCAGGGGGCTGGGGCGCTTCAAGGCCTGACGAGTACCACTTCACACAAAGGTTTGAATCAGATAACGAGTCGGACATAAGCTACAACATTGAAGCGGAGGGGATTAAGGCATATAAGAAGCTATAAATAACGTACGCTATTCTGTCCTTGTCTACCTATCGTACTTGTCAAATTCCTCCGACACCATCCCACTCCTTTTCCGGGATTCCAGCTCCAAGAACAGGCTGCTGCCTCCCACAGCACGAAAGTCGTCGTTATACCCAACCTCAGCGTAAGCAAAAAAACCCTCCTCCTCCTCTTCTTCTTCTACCTCGCTTCTAGTCGCCTCTGCCGCGCAAATTAGTCTGTGATAACACTGTCAATGTCACAAGGACACTGCCCTTTTGCCACCCAAAATGGGGGACAGAACTCCGACTCGCTCGCCTCACAGGCTCGTCTGTCCAAAGATCTGCTATTTGAGGACAAGGTTGTGGTGGGTTAGAAGTAGATTGACACAGGGGGCGGGAATCACGTACTTATACCCGCTCAGTGTTCCTTGCCAAGCAAATTTCTCAAGAAAAGTAAACACCTACCTGACTTCGGCGTTTCACCCGGTTTTCGGCCCCTGATCACCGACCAGTTCGACCTCCAGCATACCGGCACCAGGGACAGATTGACGTCCATTGCTTCCTCAGCACGCGGACCGATCCTGAATCTTGCTCTCCGTGTGTTCCACTTTTCTACCTACTTCAAGAAAGGCCCAGCGAGGTTCGACTTTGCCTGAAGAAACAAAAAAGCACTAACACTTCTTCGTTCACATGCCAATGACCCTTCCTGTGAGTACCAACCATAACCTCAGCCCTACCAGACCGCCTCATCCATGCTTATTCCAGACATGCTTCATGTCTCTGGCGCATGTCATGGGCATTGCTACTGTGCTGATAAGCTTGTCGCTGGCCGGATTCTGTGCTTTTGAGACCAGATACAGCGGTTTCGACAAAGGGTTGATTGGTCAGTCAGCCTGGGATGTCTCTGTGAGGCATTCAAGTAGGTACAAATCACCTGCTCAAACTCGAGCAGACCTTTGCTTATTTTGGTAACCTTGCTTCTCCGGTGGGAGTCGCGCACCTTCGACTTCTCCATCGTCTTGTTTCAGTTACCTACACCCCCTTTTCCCGCATAAACCAGTCACAAGTCAAGTCCCTGAAGTCCAAATGATGAACAGTCAGTCATCCACAGCCGCTTCCCTTCCCTCCTTCCTCTCCTTCCTTGCATCGCATGATGCCTTCAAGTGCCGTAGAAGTCCCTCTCGTGGCCAGTCTACCTATAGCTTCCATCAGTAGCTTTAATGGCACGCCGGCTGGGGCGAGACCAAACCTACCTTCTCCGGTCCCCTGTTCGAAGAGCTGCCACTAGCAGTCCGTAAATTCTTGGTTCTCGGTCGACTCTCTGGGCTGGTAGCATGCAAAGGCGAGGCTGTCAACAGACCACAACGCCCAAAATTGAGCAATTTATTTTCCTGGCACGCTGCTTGCTGGCAGTCGGTGCACCAAGGTCCCCACGCGCAAGCTTCAAGATGCTTGAGCCTCCGATTGATTCGGAAATCAAGGCCTTGCGAGCGAGCAGCACTTCGACTGCGAAGTTATCTTGTCTTGACTTTGACTTAAACCGTCGAGGCAGAAGTCGTTCCACCTAGGTATGCCTCATATCTACTTTCCTGGTCCTTCCCCTGAGCTCCTTCTCCCATCCTCCTGTCAACCGCATCCCAAATATTGAGCATCAAGTTATTCGAATGTATTACGAGCCTGCTGGTTGCCGGTGACCGTTTAAAGGCTCAGTGCAGTGACCCTTGAGTCAGCTGAGGTCGTGTGCATGTGCGGACTGTGATAGTGGTACGATAGCAAAAGGCAAAAGCAACATGTGCAGCAAAAGCAACAGCGAAAGGCGAAAGTAGAAGGTGAATGTGTTTCCAAACCTCAACATCCGTCGGTCCGTCCTATGCCTCATCATGGGGTATTGAACTGTGGCAACCTCTGTACCTGGCTGGCGCAGGCATTCCGCTTTCTTTCGTTTCTCTTTCCTTCCTTTCCACTTCCAGCCAAAGATGCCTTCCCTTGTGCCATTGACGACCCTTTCCCAGTCTTCTTTCGCCCTTCTTGCCTCTCGAAATCCGCCTTCCGCTCCTTCTTGAGTCGTAGATGTATCATAATGCTGAGTGAGGGGCTAACCGTGCCGGCAGGCGGTTACTCAAGTGTCCGTTATCGGCGAAGAGGGGTTGTGGAGGGGTCTGTTGAAGAGTAGGAGTAGCGGCCAGAGGGTGTAAGAAAGGACATCCCATGGGGACTTAACATCTGAACAGTGGCAAGGAAGTGACATTGCCGTCCATTTCCAACAAGCGTAAGCTTCAACAGTGCGACTCCCGCACTGCAGGACATGCAGCTGCTGCTTACAACCACGAAAACCGGAACCGAAGCCTCGGTACCACCCGCCTCGATGTGTTCAGGGGCCGATGTACGGTTGGCTGACTGCCAACTGGAATGTGTTTGCCCATGGTCTTGGTTTTAGTGCCGGAAGCTACAATCCCCGTGTAGGAATCGCTGGCGCCTTCGGGTCCGACACCTGCATTCTTTATCCTTCTCCAGGGTTCAGAGCTGACAGAGAGGGCATTCTGTAGGTGTGTGCCATATACTTATATGAAGTCTCCCCACTTACCGGCTTTCATCAGCTTTCTTCCCCGGACCACAACATTCGAGCTAAACACCATTGAGCAACCCACACCAATTACAACATGCCCTACATCACGGAAGGAGAGCCCAGACCTATCGGTTCATATCCGGACTCAGGCATCGATGTTCTTATTGTGGGAACCGGCCTGGCCGGCCTGACGGCAGCAATTGAGTGCCGTCGCAAGGGTCACAAGGTCCGTATCCTGGAGAAATGCCCGGACATCAACACCCAAGGTTAGTGTGTGCTCTTTGAACAACGCTTATGTGTCAAGAGTCGATGTTGGCTGACACATCCTTGGTCAGGCGACATGTACTTCATGGGTCTGTCTGCCACCAAGTTTTTCAAGCACTGGCCTGAGATGGCTGAGGAGTTTGACGGGATATCTCTCCACAATGCCTGGATTGAGACCTACAAGCACGAGGGAGAATTGGTGATCCCTCCCATCAGGGTGGCTGAACGACTCCGGGAGGCTGGACTTGATCCTGACACTCCTCCTGGGCTCTTTCAAATGCGTCCGCTTGTTTACCGGATGTATATTCGTCAGGTGGAGCGACTTGGAATCCCCATTACCTTCAACAAGAAAGTTGTCGACTATTGGGAGGACGTGCAAGCCAGAAAGGGCGGAGTCGTTACTGAGGACGGCGACAGATACGAAGCGGATGTAGTGATTGCGGCCGATGGTGTCGGGTCAAAGGCGCAAAAGCTGGTCGGAGGTCAGGTTAGGGCCATGAAGTCCGGCAGAGCCATGTGGCGCGCGGCGTTTGACATCAGGTATCTCGACCAGAACCCCGAGATCAAGGAGTTCTTCAGTATGCATACTCCGGAGGGCGGTGGAAAGCCGGAGCCCATCGTCCGTACTTGGCTTGGGTAAGTGTGACCCATATACGTGTTGTCTGCGTACCTAACTAACGTTGTCGACAGACCGGGAACCTATGCCATGAGTCTTACTCGCCCAGACACCATTATCTGGATCATGAACCACGACGTTACGGGTTCCGAGAAAGAGTCTTGGACGCATACGGTCGAGGCAGACGACGTGTTGAAGAACATGGACAACAAACTCACCAAGCCATGGGCGGCCGAACTCAAGGAGTTGATCAAGCTTACTCCGCCCAAGACCATTATCAACTTTGAGCTCTTCTGGCGCAATCCTCAGCCCAAGTGGGCATCTCAGGGTGGTCGTGTTATCAACATTGGTGACGCCGCCCACTCGTTCTTGCCAGCTTCGGGAAATGGGGCAACCCAAGCAATCGAAGATGCCGTCAGCCTGGCGGCGTGTCTCCAGATTGGTGGAAAGGAGAACGTAGCACAGTCGGTGCGTGCCCATGTTCGGATGCGCTTCATTCGCAACGCGTGCGCTCAGAAGCTGGGCTTCAGCAACGCCGAACTGTTGCAGGACACCGACTGGAACAAAACGAGAGTGGATTCTCGCCACGCCCAGCCCAGGATGCCCAAATGGGTCTGGCAGCACGATCCGGAGAAGTATGCGTACGAGGTTTACGACCGCGTGGTGGATAGCATGAAGAAGGGCATTCCGTTCGATAAGGACTTCGACATGCCGCCTAACTACCCGCCCGGGTACAAGTACGAGCCGTGGAAGATCGAAGACATCAGGGACGCCTTGCGCGCGGGAAGGAAGGTCGAGCTGGGTTCTGGAGATTGGAGTTGAGTCAGTCGAGGGTCATCATCACCATGTAGGGCATTACTCTCGTTACTAGGACCACCAACGGGTGATCATCTGATACATACGTACTTGGCTTAGATTGGAATGTTATCATCATTGATTTCCGCCCGCTTTGTTGCTGTGACGCAGGATATTGTATCTGGTTGTGACCAAGTGTGTTGCTGTCTCGTAATGCAAAGATCGCGACAGGATGGCACATGGTGAGTTCCGGGTAAGTTTTCGCAAAGAAGGATGGCTGACCTTGTGCTTGGAAGGAGTGTCCATTGGGTGCGGAGAGCAAAGGAAATGCCGGTCTGGAAGAACAGAGACTGATAGGGTAAACTCCTCCTTCCCTCATTGACTGACGCGATATCTGGGGAGTTCCTTCCCCAACCTGGCTGTCGCAATTGTCAGCGAGGTCAAGATAAGCGCGCCTTCCATTCCAGTATTTGGGACCTTGTCTTGATCCGATTTCGGAAATCATGCGTTCAATTCCGACCAGACTGTTATTTTCCGTAAATTAAAAATTACCTATCATTACATTCGTCTCCTTTACCGTCCCTTAACCTCCTCCGGCACCACAACCAGCGGGTTATACTCCTCCTTCAAGACAGCATCGCACACGCCGTTCCCTCCACAGCTACCAGCCAAGTTCTTCTCAGCCGCAAACTCGGCCAAACCAAGGTATGTCTTCCCATCAACACCCAGCCTGGTGAACTTCAGGTTGAAGCTGCTCATCGGATCGCCTTCAACAGTATTGTTTCCCTTGACAACCTCAAACATGAAATACCCCTCCTGCACTTCGCTGCAATTCTGGACCTTGTCAAACGGCGACTCCCCCGCAGCTTCGTTCCACTCGGCGGTGCAATCGGCCGTCATGTCCGGCCCTTCCAGTCCGGTTCCAGGCTCAGTGATGGTGAGGCTGATGGAGCTCAGACCGGAGCTGCCTGTGGCGGATTCGCTGGAGGGGCGATGCGTCTCGATGCGGGAGATTTACCAGGGGATGGGTGGTTCCGGCTCGGCTTCTGGTGTCTCTTCGGCCTGACGGACTTTGAGATCGGAGGACCTGTTCCCAATTTCCTTCGGAGTCACGCGGACGGGAGTGGACTCGGGGCGGAGGTTGGCATAGCAGAAACCACTGGCGGCGCACATGAAGAAGAGGTCACGGTCAATCCCGCTATCAAGAGTGACGGAGCCGACGTAAAGGTTGCCGTCGTTGGTCAGGCGCGTGAAGCGGAGGATAAAGTTGCTGATGGAGGGCCTTTCGGAGGAGGGGTCTGCTCTCAGGACTTCAAATTCCCACGATCCGTCTTCTACTGGCGTGCATTCGAGCGCTGTGCCGTATGGCGTCTCGCCTTTGGTTAGGCCGTCCCATTCAATGTTGCAATTTGCTGTGGCATTGGTGGCGCTGTTGGGGTCCGTGATGGTGGTCTTGATGTAGCTGATTGTGCTGCTGCCAAGTCGACCGGATGGGGAATAAGTGTCAACTTGGACGATTTCCCATGGTGCCAGTGCATGAGCGGCCACAAAGGTGCTTGATGCGAGGGACAAGATCCCAAAGAGAGCCGGGGGTCGCAGCATGATGGTGGAAGGTCAAGGGAAGCGGTTAGATGTCAGATTTTGGATATTGCATGATGGAACTTTGTCGAATGGGTTGAAGAAGACAAAGCCGATATCTTATACAATTCTGAAGTGTTTGGGTATCGCCGAGGTCATTGGCAAAGACATGGTGTTGTGGCAACTTGGAGGAATAGGGGTGTGTTCCATGAGGTTACACGGAGGGAATAGTGGGTTTCATTGTCCCACCAAATCCGGGGACGTCAAAGCTTTCCATACCCTGAAGGAGCCTCAAATCCGGGGTGCAATGCATCAATCGTGGTTCAATTGTTGGTGTTGAGCCGATAAGGTGCTTTATCCGTAAAGTGTCATGGCACATTCAAGGGTAAGCGAAATGAACAGCTCTGCAACGGGACGTACTTGCACACTTTGCCCAATTCGGTACCAGCGCAATGACATCGATATACTTTGTGGTACATTAAAGCAGATGTTGTTGCGCATCTTCTGCAAATCGTGCTCAGGAATTGTCTTTCTTCGATGGTATGGGGAGAAGTGGTGATTTCGGCGAGTGTCCTTGGGGACTATCGCCGAGGACGACAACGGAGACACTGGACATAAAGGGCAGGCTGCACTAGAGCAAGGCAAGTGGACGAATGTACAACTTGGCGAGTTTGGGGGTGGCTTCTAGTACCGTATGTGATTATTTTAAGGGGGTGGAAGCTGGGGATGGCTTCGTTTTTTCCTGTCTTGTGTTGTTGACTACACAGTATGTCGCTGTTGTCCCGTTCTGTATTTATGTGGTTGCGTTTTGCTTGTGTAATGGTACGTGTATGTATGAGATGGATCACGAATGAAGGGAATGATGATGTATTGAGTGTATTGATTGAGGGATCCAGCTAACGATGGCTGGGAGAGATCGCCAGCTATATAGCTGGCGATGACAAAGAACGAAGGTCTGCAAAGGAGGGGATTCTGGGACGTAGCGGTCTAAGCGACAAACGCCCAGAATCTTCTCACAGTATGATATTTTAACCGGTGAAAATTACGTGCCTCTAGAAGGGAAAGTGAATGTTACGTAAATTACGCAAGTGAAACAAACCCAAGCAAACACTGACGAACACAAACCAAATGTAGCCTTCTGAAAACGAACCAAACCAAATGTAGCATAAAGCGGATTTGCTTTGTTTCTTTTCGAACGTTAGATGGAACCCAGTTGAATCTTTCAATCATTATACGAGAAAACAGAGCGACAGAGGCACGGAATGCGTATCAGTCGTTTGTGGGAGTTGGAAGTTGAGGTTGTTGTGCAGGTACCCGTGCCTGCCGTGGGATGGTCATGGCGGCATCTCAATGTGCTGCCGCTATCGGATGCTCCCACTCTGTTCGATGGAAGTTAACACAAGCCCCTCCTTCCATTTGACGACTTTCTGCCAAGGAGGATGCGAGTCCTGCCCTCCTTGATCGCTCATCGCAGGGAAGGTGATCCCGACAGCGCAGGTGACTCGGTGATGGTCTTGCCTTAAGACTCGGAATGTCCCTTCTGACTCCTTGCTGAGCGTTCCCAGGATGCTGACGCCAATCTGAAAGTCCGCTGCCTTCAATGCTTCGCCTTCCTTTGCTTTCCTCGCACTCGTTGGCGAATCTCTCACGCACAGTATCCCGCGCCAGAAACCTCCAATTTTCTCCTTCCATCCATCGGAGCAAATCGATTACTTCCATCTCCCCTTTTCAAGCCCACTCAACCGCCCTACGGACACTAGTTCTGACCCCGAAGACCGCCTGGTTGACTGTGAAATGGGCTCCGAAAGATCTGGGCCAATAGCGGGCACTCAGTACCTCGCCTTTGTTGCATCTTTTGCTGTGTGTAAGTAGGTATTATCTATCCTCCCCCACCGTCTGACTTTGCAACGCGAAAGAGATTAAGTCATGACTGAGAGCAAAACTCGACGCAGACCGTTGCTAGCACACCAGCAAAGGCAACAATGAGCAGACCGCCCTTGGTTCGATCCTGAATCATGCATCAACAGCTTTCTCGTCCAACGACAAGCGATCCGACGATTTCCCCGTGTTTCAAAGAGCGAACATCGATGCCGAATAGAAGAGCCACAGCCTGAAGAGAGGGAACTTCAACAAAGGGGCAAATGGGAAGACAAAGCTTCAAAAGCCGAGACAAGCCTACGGCGAACTTGCCAACACTGCCATTGGTCCCTTGCCACCGGAGTCAGATCTTGCGGCTGGTTGGGACAGACATGGTTCTTGACCTCCTTCTGGTGACCACACGATAGAGGGTTTGGGCTCCTTGGGTGTCCGAAGTCGAAGCCCGACCCTCAGCTTTTGCCATGAACTTGTCAAGCTGTTGGCCGCTGTTCCCCCTCTCCTTTCACAGTTCCACACTCGTGATGCGAGCTTGGTTGTATCGATTCCCTGGCCCAGTCCTTCTTCCTGCCCCTATACCATTCGATTGGAAACTGTTCTGACCCTCTCTTCATAGCCACGAAGGCTATCCTGCCAGTTCCTCCTTTTCACATTGAATGTCGACGAGATTCTCGACCACACCATTACCCAGTGTTACACCAAGATTGAACAAGGGTATGCCAAGGGTTCGGCGTACTCTCCATTCAGCAATAGCCATTCGCATGGGTTGCGTGTCAGGGTGATCTGATTCGACGACCGAGATATCAAGACAAGGATGATGTCAAGCATACTCCGAAATCCTTGCCGAGACAATCGCTGAGGCATTTATCAGCCACGTGTGAGAAGGTACCAGCAACATGCTGACAGCCTGCTGCTGCAAGCCCATCGAAGCATCTTATCAAAGCGGAAGTTGGACTCTAGGCCTTCATCGTCCTCCTAGAGCGATGATGGGCCTATTGCTAGTCAAAAAGGGTTCGAACACCATGTAAGCACTTACCAAGAGGTAGGCCGAACTCCTAACAGTTTTCTCGTTGAAGCGCTCCAGTCATGGTGATACTAGAGGGCGAAAAAGTGCCGGATTGTTGTTCTGAGATCCGCCATGTGAGAACTGATATAAAACGTTGCAGTCCTGGATTCTGGCAGTGGACGTTGCTGGTTATAACGGAAAAGGTTGGGGTGCCGGAGCATCCGGTTGGCTGTCATCCATCAACAACCTCTTCTTCGAGATTGGCTCAGCTGTCCTCCCAACGTCCACAGAGACAGGATTGTAAGCGATCCAGGGCCAGTGTGCGTGGGAGGTTTGAGTGACAGAGGGAGCACCTGACGACACCTGATGCATGGGTCACAGCCAGACCGGCCACGACATTGACGTGGAACGGTTCAATGCACTTTCTGCGTTGCTCTCATCGTCACTGGAGCTCACAAGAACGACGATGGGCCAAAGAAAGGTTGCGGCGTTGAGGACAAATTCTTGGCGTTCTGCAGTCGCAGTCTGGTTGATGCACGTCAGGGCGCACAATTCTCTTCTGCAGCTAGCGGTAGCTGTCAATTTGGTGGGCCATATCTAGCCAGTAAGACGAGGGTTCTGTAAGAGGACTAGCCTCCCAGCCACCCCAACAGCGCTGTAGACCTTCCTAATACTCTGGGATCTCCTAACCTGTGTATGCAGTCTTTCTACTCCACACACTCGATTAATATAGCGATTAACCTATATTCTCTACATTCACATAACTGTGCATTCTAATAATTAATAGTTTAAATTCGTGATTCTTATACTATATGAATATATTTAGAAGTACGAAATCTATTTATATAACCCTTTATACAAAAAATTATATTCCTATCTAAGGAGTTTACTTCTAAGTTTAACCAACCTTACTTCGATACCCCTTTAAAGTTCTATAAATAGAATAATAAACTCTTAGGGTGCGTTAAAGGTTTGGACCTCACTAATTATTTATTAAGCTTCGAATTAGCCGTTATTAAGCCCTAAGAATTATATTATTCTAATTACGCCTTCAAAGCTATAGCTACCTGCTATATCGAAAGAGTTCGAAAATCCCTTTAACGCTTTAAAGTTAGGGTCCTAATTCATTATACTCTGGCAGCCTTCAACGCTACCTCTATAACTACTATTAAAGATTTTAATAATAAAATTGAAGTTATTAACTAGTCTGATGAAAGTTGGTTAGCTGATATTATTATTTAATTGGCTGATTTCAATCCCCCGGCCGTTAAGGAATACGAATATAATAACACTATATATAATAACCGTTAGAAAACCTACGAATTATTTAAAACTAATAATATTAACCTTCGAAAATAGATATAGGAAATTATATACTTAAATTATGAAGCTAATTCCTTCGCGTCTTTGGAGTTTACCGTTATATAGTATATTCGGGTCTATAGTATTTATAATTACTATAAAGAAAATACTATAATCGAAGCACGCTAACGTTATTATAATTATATTAAACATTTATTAAGCGAGTCTAATAAGAATTCTAATAGAATAAGTAAGTAAACCGACGGCTAGGATTTAATTATAATTAACGTTATATAATATAAAGTCCTAAAAATTGAAATAACCGTTACCTAATTTAAAGATTTATTAAACTACTTAAAATTTGTTCGCCCTAATTAAGTATCCGGAATTTCCAAATTCTTTAGCGAGAAAATTATAATTAATACTCTTAATTTCCGTATTATATTCGCAGACTTTCATTATAAGGGCCTATACAAACGACCTTTAATTACTGTAGTTAAAACTAAAGGGTATAAGGGAGCGTTTAGAATAAGTATTACTTTTAACGGTTTGTAAGGTAATAATATGAGGTAGTCTATTCGTACTGTTGGAAAGGTCTTACCGGACTGTACCCTACCTACCCTATATACCTTTCATTAGCTACCGCAAGGAATTGCGATATTAATTACGACCGCGATAGCAATTGCGATACTAATTGTACTTTTTACAACTACAATCGCGAATATATTCCGACTGTAGTAGCGATTTAAATTCTAATAGAAGTAACCTTGCAATGACGATACTAAATATCGCAATTTAATTTCAATCGCTATTTCAATCGCTACTACGGTCGGAATTCAAT